CTTGTTTTTATTGTATTGTTCTAAATAGAAATACTTTTTGAGACAGATGGAATTCCTGTATATGTGATATTCTAGTGTGCTTTTTATAATGTAACTGTATTTATCATGAATTTATAACTTGTTTTAGTCACGATATGGCTAAAATACTGCCGATGTGACTATAACTTAATTGTAACTCACTCACTTGATCATCTTTATGCACGTGTGTACTTCACATGCTGATTTCGTGCGCATTATTCAGTGAAGCTGAATCTCTAACTAGCCTCAAGTCAATATTACCATTTTTTCCATCTTGCCCATACAGGAGTAGAGATTATACGTTACTGGTGGGACTTAATGTTAGATTTTGTCATATAAAATCTGAGACATGATCTCTTTGAAAATAGTGAATCAATTCATTTCTTTATTCTCAGAGCACCGCCACTTGGCACAACACTTGCATGACGCAACCCGCCTCGTTTTAGCGCGATTAATCACTACTGTCCGAAAACACGTCACGCCGGAAACCTATACACACGATACACACAGCAGAGTAACAAATACCTGATCGCAATAACTATTAGAATTAGTTCTTAATGATTCGATGAAATATTTCTTTTAAATAATGGAAATGTTTGCAGCTCATGCTGTTGATCACTGGATTGTCTGGTCCAGACTCGATTATTTACGATTATTTACTCGACGCCATATAGCTGGGATATTGTTGAGTGCTACGTAAAACTAAACTTACTCACTCACTATTTAGTGCTTCATCAACACCTGTTCATGATATATATATAAGAACGCTTGGTATTATTACCATTTGATAGTGTTTCATAAACACCTTTTCATGATATATATTAGTTAGAAACGTACAATGGAAAGGGTTTTGTCGCTTTCATACATTACTGTTCCATGCAACAGGGCATTCACATTTACAAATATACTTCCAGATATTCTTTCAGACTGTAAATTCCAACATATTGCCATACGTTTTTATTACCTTTATTTCGTTTCGTTTAAGGATATTTTTGTTTCAAGAACGGGTTGGACACAAGTTTAGAACGCCCACTTCTATAGATTTGTAGATCACAAACAAATGCTTTAAATGACAAATGAAAATTAGGAAAAACGCATGTACTTTAACTCTGCTCATTTGTAATGTTAGGCGATGGCTAGATTTGAGTACAATCACAAGCGGCCGAAGGGATGTTGTAAATCCAGATGGGATCCATGCAGGTAGCAAAAGTCCCCACGGTCCCTAGTATGGTGATCTACCTTCAGTTACTGGCGATCTATAGCTTGTTTTTTTATTGTATTGTTCTAAATAGAAATACTTTTTTTGAGACAGATGGAATTCCTGTATATGTGATATTCTAGTGTGCTTTTTATAATGTAACTGTATTTATCATGAATTTATAACTTGTTTTAGTCACGATATGGCTAAAATACTGCCGATGTGACTATAACTTAATTGTAACTCACTCACTTGATCATCTTTATGCACGTGTGTACTTCACATGCTGATTTCGTGCGCATTATTCAGTGAAGCTGAATCTCTAACTAGCCTCAAGTCAATATTACCATTTTTTCCATCTTGCCCATACAGGAGTAGAGATTATATGTTACTGGTGGGAGCTCAATGTTAGATTTTGTCATATAAAATCTGAGACATGATCTCTTTGAAAATAGTGAATCAATTCATTTCTTTATTCTCAGAGCACCGCCACTTGGCACAACACTTGCATGACGCAACCCGCCTCGTTATAGCGCGATTAATCACTACTGTCCGAAAACACGTCACGCCGGAAACCTATACACACGATACACACAGCAGAGTAACAAATACCTGATCGCAATTACATTTTAGAATTAGTTCTTAATGATTCGATGAAATATTTCTTTTAAATAATGGAAATGTTTGCAGCACATAAGCGTTTCTTGTTTGAGACGAGGCAATTCATAATGAGTAGATGGAAATACATTTAGATTAAGAATATACAAAGGTGTTATATCAAACAGATATTGCTGGCAAATATCGGTGAAGGGAAGGGTTTTATTCGCGTGGTATAGAATTCTACCCAGGAACAGTTTGGTTGATACACATCACAAATTCGAGTTTCCATCCAGCAAATTAGCTTGGGCTGACAATGAAATCCAAAGCACCAAATTAACTTAGATTATGTAAGGGTAGCGATTCCTGTTAAATGCAAACGCATCTTATCATTTCATGCTGACAGTTCATTAAAACATATTTGTGATAATGTCAAAATGTAAAAAAATATGAACGTGAGGTACATTGTGAAAACAAGCACGAGGAAAATGTATGAATGTTTTAAACGGATATTTACTCTTAATTTGTATGACACATATATTAGCAGGGATTTGTATCTAGAAACGTCTGTCCCAGTTTAAGACGTCTAAGATGCCACCTTCGAGATTATGACGACCACCTTGACGATGATGGTGATGTTGTTGTTGTTGATGATGATGATGATGATGATGATGATGATGATGATGATGATGATGGTGACTGGATGATTGTGCTGTTGTTACGAGTGATGATGATAATACAATCAAAAATCACTGGCATTGTAATTTGCATAAACATATTCGATTACGTCTTTGACGTGAAATAAACTCATTGATTATTATGTCAATATAAAATTCAACTGTAAAAGCACACATTCCATGTCCTCTGCGACCCTTGCAGACTGAGTACGGACCAAGTGGACGTATCGAGTAACCAGCGTGCACAGTACAGTGTTCAACATGCTACGAAATTAGAATGACCATTTTCATTAAAATGATATAAGTAGTACGAGGCACTTGTTAGCCCCAGGAAACAGAGGCACATATGTAGGTCTGTGACAGTACCATAGAACAGTCGGTTGACCGCGCCATGACCCACACAGGACCCGAGTACTCAGAGTGGGGACTATCCCTTCCGTACTTGACGGACAGTTATACTGAACTGTTAGCTCACTTCCGTACATTGGTCTGGCTTTACGACGCTTTGAACAGTATTTGGGTACGACACGGCGTGTTAGCTCAGTCAAGGAATAAACCCTGAAATTGAGCCGGTCTTTCATTTTACTTATTTGGTCCTTGACGTTTTACTTATTTGCTTTTTACGCGTTACCAATTTTGTCTTTGATGTTTTGCCTGTTTGTTATTTGACATTTCACCAATATATTTTCGACTGTTTACCAATTAGCTTTGACGTCTTATGAATTTAATTTTTTTACGTTTTACCATTTTAGTCTTTCATATGTTACCTATTTGTTATTTGGCGTTATACCAATCTGGTCTTTGACGTTTTACCAATTTCATTTTTAGTTCTTTTACTAACTTGGTCTCATTCTTCCTTCTATCTTGATGAAAAAGAGAGTTCTGACAAGCCAAATATCAGGTTACCTGGGACTAGACCCCATAGTCATACGTTTCTTGTCCCAAGGGGGGCAACTCTGCACAGCCAGCTTCGGCACTATCACCATAAGCCCATCCGTGCCCCATCCCCCTGCTTCCGTACATTCGTGTCATACAAAGCGAAACATGAGTCTCATTAACCTGATCAGACGATGACCTACTTTTCAGCCGATCCGAATTTTCTCGTGTGAAAGTGAAAAGAGACACCACAAACAACTATGGTTACACTGAATTCCAATTCCTTGTTTCATAAGAAAATGGTATTTACAAATGCATTTTAATTTTAAACTTTAATAACATCGTATTTCTATATTTTATGGTGAGGTGTAGGCAGCATGACCTTAACTAAGACGTCACAGACTGCCCCTGTTGGATGAGGTCGTAAAATGATTCACAATTCATCTGGGTCACTGGTTACACCTGTTATGTGTTTTTTGTGCTTATTCAGTGTAGTTCTGTAACGCACAATGTGATTGATATAATATCAAGCCCGTATAAGGGCGCCAAACTTTTCTAGCGGGAGAGACTCGTGAGATTTCCATGATTTCCAGGTTTCCGTTTGTCAGAGCTCGCTGTACGACAGAGCACGCTGCACGACGTGTTTGCAAGGATTAGAAGGAGCGTAGTGTTGCAATATACAAGTGCTTAGATGTATCAAATAATACTGATTAATAATTATGTGAGCGGATGATGAGCGATCGACGCCGTCTGTGGATGCTGAAACCTTACTTTTGGTTTCCCATTCGTCATGTGATGAAGATTAAAACCAGCAAACATCTCTCACGATGATGTCATTTTCTTGAATTTATTTATGATAGTAAGATGCCTGCTATGATATTTCAAACCAACTCTCTCTATGAACACAATCCTGACATGAGCTAAATTCAACAGTACGGGAGCAACAGCTTGTCGCGCTGTCTGTAGTCGAGACGACACTTCAAATGATTTTAAACACACTTTAACGTAATCCGTAAATAGGTAAAGCATATATCGTACAATTGTAAGGATATATAGCAATCTCTGATATCAGGACGCTTTGATATGATTCAAAAGCATTATATATTGAGATTAATTTGGATAAAGATATCAATGAATGGAATGAGTGAGTTAATATTCAACGTCACATCGGCAATATCTCAACCATATCGTGACGAAAACAATTTATACAATAAAAAGTGAAAACATTTTGAAGATTAAAACCTGTCGACGATGGACAGTAAAAATACTAGAAAGTCACAAGATATATATAAAACTAGCGATCAAAGCTAAAACATTCCAATCAAAGAAGACAATACAATATAAAACACGGGCCATAGATCGCCAATAACTGAAGGTAGATCACCATACTAGGAACCATGGGGACTTATATTACTTTTGCTACCTGCATGGAGCCTAGCTGGATTTACACCATCCCTTCAGCCGCTGGCGATTGTAGGATAATTTAGCCGAAATTTAAAAGAACAAACATACTACGTTTAAAAACTTGGTACGAGAAAATTTCACTTTGAAAGTGTTTGGGACTTACGTTCAATGAATGGATAAGTCACGCGGTGTATGTGTGACACATTTTCATATGCATATTTATGTTACAGGGATATCTTCGAACATACGGGTTCACCACTCAAGAAATCAAAAGCTCGGCTCACAAGGAATCAAGGAAGAAAGCAATTAAGTAAGAAAGGGTTTGTGCTTTACTTTTAAAGAAAAATCAGATTTAAAAAGGAAACTTGTGGTTCCGTGTTCAAATCCTTTTACGAGGTTTCAAAGAGTTTAGATACAAATGTGTGCAGCAAAGGAAGACACACCTCCTGTGGGAAATGTGTTTTTGTTGTTTATGTCGAAATGAATTTCCTGCCTTCATGTACAAGGTGTTTTTTTAGATTGGTAGCGAGGAGCCTTGATTTTATCGGGAAAGTATTTGTTCCCGAAAATTCTTGAAAACAACAATGCTTCATTCTGTTGAAATAAAATGAAACGATTGCGAAACAATTACGTGATAGTTTTAAGTGTTTCTGAGAATGAAATATTTAGGCTCATGTTTCCGATCAAAGAAAATACTTGGATCTACAACTGAAGCTGAGAAAATATGTAAATACGTAATCCCGGCCCCGTTTGAATAATGAAGCAAATGGCAAGTGCCTTACATCACTGGAGTTACTAATAATATAGAATAAGTAAAGTGTAGCCACAGATATATGCGTGATCGGAACATTGCTTAGTATGTATTTCTAAAGCTGCGTCGCATTTTTGTACAGATTGGTCAAATGTTTAGTAATTGCAAATATTACTGTGCTACAACCTCTTGAACCGATTCACGTGTGGAATCTTGCACGGAACTTCGAATAATTCGATAACTCCTTTACTCAATTTATTTTGCTTTAGAAATAAAGGTTTCCCAATTGTGACGTATATCGACATACACAGGAAATAAGTGTAAATGTGTTGCAATCTTGACTACTTTAGAAGTATCCCTTACAATTTAATATAAAAGTTTCTTCACGTTTTCATTCTTACTTTTTGCATCTAGTGGATAACACGTTTTCCGAGTGAGTGAGTGAGCGAGTGAGAGTGAGAGTTTATCAATATTTCAGAAATATCACTGCGGAGGGCTCAATATATGTGGGAATTCGAACCCGAACGTTTTAATCTGTAGACTTTACCACAGCCCTTACATTTGTCTTCAAAAGTGGAAAGTCGGTGGATCAGTTTCCTGACTGTGTCTTACCAACACACGTTAAAAATGGTACTTTTTGTTGCCCAGCCTGGCGAAAGGACGCTGAAATTTGTCGTGAACTTGGCATGAAGGGTATTAGAAAGAAAGGACTTGTCGGTTCGGAGTATAATGTGTGCATTTGGCATCCTGGTTTCTTTGTGTGTTTGTTTGTTGTTTAAAGCCACACAGTATTACTGTCATATGGCGGCGGTCTGTAAGTAATCGAGTCTGGATCAGACAATCCAGCGATCAACAGCATGAGCATCCATCAACGCAACACGATGACATGTCTCAAACAAGTCAGCGAGGCTGACCACCTAATCCCGTAAGTCGCCTCTTACGACAAGAATGGGTTACCTCTATCTTCACGGATACCTTGGGTGGTATGGTGGAATAGCAACGCACGGCTGTCATAAAAAGCCACAAACAAGCACGTCGCTATCTTGAGCGCGATTTCATACTTTGTGATGGATTATCATAATCTTTTGTCGTTGGCATATATGAACATGACTTTAAAAAGTACTCGTAATATCTTTTCAGATTATTTCAGAAATACTACGGGTTACAAAAGACGGGCTTGGTTGATGATGCAACGTACCGCCTTATGACGTCATCAAGATGCGGGGTACCCGATAACCCTGAAATCCTGGCCAGTTATGATGACTACACCAATGCAACAAAACCTCTTGCCTATAAACTGACAGGTACGTGTATATTTTGTAAACATTTCCTGTAACAGTTCCTCTCCTGTTACATGTATTACATCAATTTAATATACAAAATAATCATTGATTCCTTTGGAACCTACATAAGAATACATGGTATCGATGAGTGAGTGAGTTTAGGTTTACGCCGCTTTTAGCAATACTCCAGCAATATCACGGCGATGGACACCAGAAATGGGCTTCACACTTTGTACCCATGTAGAGAATCGAACCGGGGTCTTCTGCATGACGAGCGAACGCTTTAACCACTAGGCTACCACACCGTCCCCGGTAACGTTGACTCGTCGAACGTCCCCAGATCAGTGACGAAACTGATGTCCATTTGACTTGACAATTGACTAGCCTTTGCATGCGTTTAGGACGGTGCCACCTATGGGTAAAGTGAGTCTGTGATTATAGTTTTATGCCGCTTTTAGCAATATTCCAGCAATATCACGGCAGGGGACACCAGAGATGGTCTTTTCACACATTGTACCCATGTGGGGAATCGAACCCGGGTCTTCGGCGTGACAAGGGAACGCTTTAATCTTTAGACTACCCCGCCGTCCCCGATAGGTAAAGAATACTCTCATGTTTTCGCGAACATCATGACTATTGATAGCTAGTCATTGACACTAGCACAGTTGCACAATCGACTCTGCTTTAAGTGCTTACATGGACGTGGAAAGGGTTTCGTTGCTTGTATTTGATATCGAAGTCTGTTATAAGGGGCTCGTCTGACGCTAATAAACCATATGCTCAGTCAACCTTTACTTCACAATACGTGTATCAACGGGTCACAATGCTCAACACAATACTCGCAGTTTCAGTTTCAATTCACGTCATGTAAGTTTCATGTGGAAACAAATCTCGATTTAAAACAGTCAAACATCCACGTTAGACGCAAATGAACATATATAGTTCAGAAATCTTAGATCAGGATTCACAAGTATGAACTTTGTTAAGTGAAAGTTGCTACCGGGTTTCAACGTTATTGATTCTCGGTCCTTGATGAAAGGGAAACGAATTTTGACGACAGCGGTGATTTTATAAACAATAACAAACCAGCGATGAATATGTGATGTTCTTAGGCATGTGACCGATTAACTTGTAGGAAGAGATCGTTATGAAAACCATATATGTATACGCTGTATACTTCAAGGGGAGCTGAGAATGTAATTACACACCGATTTACGGGTAATCATATTCAGTATGGACCTGCCGTAGGGCAAAGATACATATTATTAGAATTTCAGCTATGATCGCAATTATAATCATGATGACAGTTTTAGTCCAATCAGCATGTAACTAGCTACGTTACAACCCCTACACATTGTAAAGTGTATGACGCAGTCCGTCACGTACCGGAAGTGGTATGGGTTGTTGTGAACGTGTAGTAGGTCAGGCGGTAACAGCACTAAGCTTCAACACCATGAGCAGCGAGCTACACTCACAGCTGAGTGAGTGAGTGAATATGATTTTACGCCGTTTTTAGCAATATACCTGTAATACCACGGCGGGGGCACCAGAAGTTGGCTTCACACGTTGTACCCATGTGTAGAGGGGAACCGAACCCGGGTCTTCGGCCTGACGAGCGAACGATTTAACCACTAGGCTACCCCCTGCCCCCTTACCTGTAGGCCCCTGCATGCATTTTCAAACTCTGTATGTAATTTATGATTGGTAATGTCTCCAGTTACCGGCCAGTCTCAAACCTGACCTTCATGTCCAACATTCTGGAGAGAGCTTTTGACCTTCAACTGGCAAAGCATCTTTATGAGAACAACCTGGTGAACAAGTTCCAGTCCGCCTATCGTCCGAACCATAGCACAGAGAGTGCTCTGCTCAGGGTTACGTATGATCTGCGGAGCTATGTGGACAAAGGTTCCATTGGATCTCTTATCCTGCTCGATCTGTCGGCAGCCTTTGATACTGTGGACCACGGTATAATTACAGTACGACTACGACAGGAAGTGGGTATATCAGGAATACCACTGTCATGGATACGCTCATATTTGAGCAACAGACGCCAGTCAGTTATGATTGGTGATACTAAATCTGAAAGTATCGCGCTACCCTGTGGGGTTCCCCAAGGATCTGTGCTAGGTCCAGTCCTGTTTGTGCTGTACACAAGTAGTCTCACCTCCAGCAACAGACAGTATGGGATGAACAACCATGCATATGCTGACGACACCCAGCTATATCAAGGTTTCAAAGCAAGCGAAGCAGTCGATGCACTTGCAAGAACTACTGATTGCACTAAATCAATAAAAACATGGATGACATCAAACAGATTAAAACTGAATGATGGAAAAACCGAGGCCTTACTCGTTGGACCCACACAGCGCATTCAACAGTTGAATATCACGTCAGTGGCTGTTGGAGACTCATTCTTCACATTCGCCGACAAAGCAAAGAACCTGGGTGTCATCTTTGATTCTCCCTTGTCAATGGAAGCCGAAGTTAATCAAGTGTGCCAAACCTGCTACTTCCATCTAAGAAGTATTGGTAATATTCGCCATCTTATTACCAAAGACGTAACAAAGACAGTAGTCCAACAACTCGTGATGTCCCGCATTGACTACAGCAACAGTCTGTTGTATAGTTTGAGTCAGGATCTGCTGAACAAACTCCAGAAGGTACAAAATAGGGCAGCTCGTATTGTGAGTCGTGCACCAAAAAGATGCCACATAACACCAGTATTGATGTCCCTACACTGCCTACCAATAGAAGTCCGGATCCACTTCAAGATCTTGTGTTTTGCCTACCACTGTTTGAATGGTACAGCACCGAGCTATCTATCGGAACTGATCTCACCATATCCACCTTCACGACGTCTAAGGTCTGAAAACCAATGCCTACTTGCAGTACCAAACTCAAGACTAAAATCCTACGGCAACAGATCGTTTCAAGTAGCAACACCTCCGTTATGGAACCCACCACCTCAGAACATTAAAGAATCCCCCACCCTTGAGACATTCAAAACCAACCTAAAAACCTTTCTCTTTAGAAAGTTCTATCCCCACGAACTATCTCCTCCCGTGAACTTCTCATCTGTCACTATTGTAGCGCCTTGAGCATGCACCTTTGTGGATGGAACCCAGCTTAATATAAATATACATTATTATTAATGTATGTTTGTTTGTTGTTAAATGCTGTTATATCGTCTTCACCTACCCATGCTTGTCGTAAGATCGGGTGGTCGGGTTCGCTGACTTGGTTGACACATATCATCGTATCCAAATTCCGCAGCTCGATGCTAATGTTGATCATTTGATTGTCTGATCTAGGCTCACACCATACAGTTGGAATATTGCTGAACGTGGCGTTAAACACGAGCATACACACATTCAATGAAACGTGAATGAGAGGTGTGACTTGCCTTTCAAACACGGAACAAGAACTTGAAAAAGTTAACCCATCCAATGGCAAAAAGATTAATCAAAAGCCACAATGACAGATAGGGCAGCTGTGAACTATAGAAAACAAGACGAAAAAACATGTGACTCACATATATGAAAAATGCATACTAATCTATTAGAAATATAAAATGTATCTAGAACATTCAAAACATTCAAAACAATAATAAGTGAAAATAAACAAAACAAACATAGCAAATCGAGAAAGCAACAAAACAAACCACCAAACCGCACCATCAAATAAACAAAGTCAACCACCCAGCCTGTCAAACTAGGTTTCTTACTGTGTTTGTGCAGCCGATAATGGGAACAGAATACGTCGTCATTCGTCATTGGTAACGAGTTTCACATCACCATTGAGTTTTGCTGCGGAAGATGACAATGAAGAGGGCACAAGTGGTTGACAGTTTCATACTGTCAGATCCTGGTCATTGAAACCCTACTTGAACGCGACACGCTTTGACTTATTTACCGATATTTAAACCCTGCATTTATCTTGTTTTGTGATATAGTTCCAGAATTCATAAACCCCAACTGTTATAATGATATACGCATGGAGATGCACAAAGTTAATATGTGTTCAAAAGCCCAGTGATGTTTGTTTGATGTTTAGCGCCACGCTTAGCCACAATCAAACTATGATGTCGGTCTTCAAATAATCGTGTCTTAACCAGATAATCCCGTGATTGACATTATGAGCATTGATGGTCGCGACTGGGATACGATGACAAGAATCAAGCAGGTTATTGAGTCTGACTCCCTTAATCCGACTGTCGCCCTTTACCACATTGGGTATACGACCAGGGCCTCCTTTCACAAAGCACTAAGGTGATCGTAAATCACTAAGGTAACCTTAGTGCAATGTTAAGGAATGGGAGTTAAGGTTAACTTTAGTAAAGGTTGCTTCGTGAACTCCCATTCTTTATCATTGCACTAAGGTTACTGTAGTGACTTACGATCACCTTATTTAGTGCTTTGTAAAAGGAGGCCCAGGGTGCCGTTGTATAAAGCGGTCTTAGCGCTACTCCCATTACCTTAACATGAGGTAGTCTTAGCGCTAAGGTTGTTTTCTACAACAGCACCCAGGGGCTCTTTTCGCGAAGCAACCTTTGGGAGCTTTAGGGAGCCCAATGTCTGTAAGATATCCTCACAACCTCAGTCCTGGCAGTCACATGTCCAAATAGGTCAAACCGGTCACGCTCCCTAGTGGTGTCTTTATCGTGTCTTTAGATCTTCAGGTAAAGATGTTTGGTAAATGATCTGATTTAAAGAGAATGTTACTTTCTCATCATATATCAACCAACAGTGTTGTGTGACACTCATTCACGTTCTATCCGACATTTAGGTCCCACATGGAAGGATTCCACTATTCGATGGGGAATTTCACAGTATACGAACCAGTTGCAGCGTGACTCACAGCGGTAAGTAAAGTTCTTGGTTGTCATGGTGATGATTGCCAGATACAAAGTTCTCCATCATTGTGGCCGTATCGTATTTATATTTGTAACGCCTAGAGTATATACCCACACTTATATCTCACACTTATACATTCAGATATATTGTGGGTAACATAATTAATATTCAAATAATATCTCCTACCTTATATTATATTGAGGGCGGTAGGGTAGCCTAGTGGTTAAAGCGTTGGCTCGTCACGCCGAAGACCCGGGTTAATCCCCACATGGGTACAATGTGTGAAGCCCATTTCTGGTGTCCCCCGCCGTGATGTTGCTGGAATATTGCTAAAAGCGGCGTAAAACCAAACTCAGTCAGTTATATTATATTGTAAATATAAATTGTACAGAGAATAACCTGGTCTGTCATACAGACCCTGAAACAATTATATCCAAGAAAGCCCATGCCACGTTAGAATATGTGAGAAGTCCAGAAAATGAAGAAAGTCTCTGTTCTCTTTTCATTATATTTTATGACCATAATTTAGGAACCGTTTTTTTCTGTAAAATATGTTAATTTCAGAGACCAGATATCGCTGTTAGCCTAAAACTAACCACTCGTGTATCTGCCGAAACAGATTCTACTCGGATTTAAAGGCAAAACAGTAGTAAAATATTTCTTCTTAAGGTGGCATTTAGAATTTGGGTATGATGAAGAGGTACAAATTTGAACTTCTTTATTGCAGTTGTGACATTTGAACTTCTTTATTACAATTGTGACATTTCGGTGTAGATACTAAAATATCACTTGCTTGATAACGGTGTTGGTATCTACACAGAAACCTCGCATCAACTGCATTAAAGAAAGTGTCAATCCTTAAATTTTGTTCCTCTCTCTTGTTCGTACTCTTTAGCAGTAAAATATATAAGAATAGATCGCTGAAAATCAGTTGTGGCACTAGGTCTTCGTCGTCTGCCCTGCCATAGCTGGGGCCAAATATACATTTATGAAAGATCAATCTCTATTAGGACGAAGACCACCTGGTGTTCAGAAGCATATGAAAGAAGAACGTCAATGTCCTTCCGCTGGATTGTGAAGACTGACTGACTGAGTTTTGTTTTACGTCGCTTTTAGCAATATTCCAGCAACATCATGGCGGGGGACACCAGAAATGGGCTTCACACATTGTACCCATGTGGGGATTCGAACCCGGGTCTTCGGCGTGACGAGCCAACGCTTTAACCACTAGGCTACCCCACCGCCCTGAATTGTGAAGAGAGTAACCTTAAGGTATAATACATAACATGCGCTTACTGTCAGATCATACTCTTATTACATGCTATGTTGCAGTGAATGTAATCCATTTTTCAGAAAGACATTGACCGATGCGTTTCAACGATGGCAAGCAGTGTCTGGTCTCAAATTTGTCTATGCAGATGAGAAACCCGATATTGACATCAGATTTGTGTCTCGGGACCATGGCGATGGGAGTGCATTTGACGGGAGAAGCAATAATTTGAAAGGTTAGCTTCAGATACACATTATACACTCTCGTGAAGATCCATGTCTTAAATTTGTTTGCTGCATAACACATCACTTCAATAACGCAATACTTCAATAACACATCACTTCAATAACGCGATACTTCATACCCATGAAGATCCGTAACACATGCTTGTAGTAAGAAGCGGCTAACGGGATCAGGTGGTCAGGGTCGCTGACTTGGTTGACACATGTCACTTATCCCAATTGCGTAGATCGATGGTCATGCTCTGGATCACTGGATTGTCTGGTCCAGACTCGATTATTTACAGATGGCTGTCATATAGCTGCAATATTGCTGAGTGCGGCTTTCAACATCAAACAAACATGTTGTGCATCGTTTGGTCTCTCGGGTCTGTATAAATCTTAGAATCTTGGTTCGAATCCTGTTTTGCACCGTTGTATTCCTAGTTTTGTCAACAACCTCTGACCTGCATCACTAGCAAACTGCCACATCAAAATTACACACATTGATAAATACTGCTCTTCTGTGGATTAAGTCTCATCTTTCTGACCGTACCATGTCCGTTAAAGTTGAAGATGAGCTTTCTGTTACATTCTTAAGTCAGTATGGTGTTCCTCAGGGTTCTGTTCTCGGGCCTATTCTATTTTCCGTATATATTCTGCCCATCGGAAATATTATCAAGAAACATTGTTCTTCTACGAAGCCTAGCCGTGCCGTCTCACTTTGCAGTTCCCAGCTGTGGAACTCTCTGCCATCTGAACTAAGAAACACCAAATCCAAAGACTTTCTCAAGTCTCTCCTTAAAACCCACCTCTTTCGCTCAGCATTCCACTAGACTTTCAGGATTGTGTGTATATATGTGCTTAGATTTGGTTTTAACTTTGTCATAGCGCCACTGAGCACCTGTCTATGGATACGAGGCGTTCAAGAAATCAATTATTATTATCATTGTTTGAAACGTGCAGTGTGAAACAAACCCGCTCGATAATGACACACATGCTACTGACCTAATAACAACATCACGTGTCATATCTCTGTTTATTAGGCAACGTGCTTGCCCACGCCTTTCCCCCCGGAGGTGCGGGATTGTCTGGAGACGCCCACTTTGACAACGATGAGCTGTGGACCACAGACATTGACAACAAAGACTGGGAAAGGAAGTACTTAGAGAAAGTTGCTGCACACGAGTTTGGCCATTCTCTTGGCTTACAGCACTCCAACATCGACGGGGCTCTCATGAGTGCCTACTACTCCGGCGCCATAAGAAAATACCAACTCTCCGATGACGACATTAATGCCATACAGTTTTTATACGGTGTGTATTTTGGGCTACTGCTACAAATAGATTTAATTGCCTCTTGATACACATTTTGATGTTATTTAAGCCACCGAATATGTTACAGATACTTCTATGTGTCAAGTTGTTACAGTGAACAATTGCTTTTGACACCTTAAGTTAAAATGTTGTTTACAGTTACTACTTAAAGGCACAATGTCACACCACACTTCTCTAAAAACATTATAATGCATTTCTCTCAATAATACTATCAGCCCTCAGGGAAGCTACTATATAATTTATTAAATAAATACGTATTTAGATTACAATATTAATTTCAAAAGTTCGAATGAATTAATGTAACGCTGCATTAAATCGACTCTTGCGCCCTCTACCGGCCGAACATTATTTCAAGCGAACCAATTAGAGTTATGTCCCATGGAGCGCTTTTACGAAAAATCTATGCACAACTTGTGATTGAACCCAGTTCGGCAAACACCGACAACACCGCATGTGACAGTTTCGATGTACGGAGCTGTTGTTTTCATTCCATATATGGCAAGTGTTCTCTGTTTCAGGCATGTGGTAAGTGATACTAAGTCTTTCATTGCATCAACAGGAAGCTAAAGTGAGTGCATATGGCCCAATATATAAGATATAGGCCAAAATATTCTCGAACATGTGTGACATTGTGCCTTTAATTAACTTAATTTGAAAATCAATCACAGACTTATTTTTGTGAATGTGGTCTCGTGGCTGTATGACTGAAGTAAAGATGATCCGACGTTTGATTTTAACTCACTCAAATCAATTACTACTGAATAAATTTAATATACAAACTTAAGGCCACATAAAAATAATGTCGTGTTTCTCATTACCGCCCGACCCTAAAATTTGGTCCGACCCTAATTCATTCTTTATGTTTTTGCACTTGTAAATTTCCGTGTATAAAGACGGCAGACTTCCGAAATCCATCTCAGCTTCCGGCATTCCAAGTTTTCGACTAACATTGTATCGAGAATCAGAAAAAGAGAATATTAGAAAATAAAGATAAAATCCACCCTAGCTAAAAGAAAAGTGATAAGAAACAAGACATTTATTTTATCTGGCCTAATTGATGGTGGCTAAAACGAAACTTACAAGAATTGAGTTTTCGATTGTGCTGTAATCGATATGAACGTCATAGACCACACGACACTCCATCATGACGCTTATATGAACACCTGTTCGTAATTTTGGCGACTGTTATATCAGATGGCTATTAAGTCACTAAACTTGTCGAGCCATGTGAGTGTATGACATGATTTGTTGACAATCTATATAAACTGACGCTCAAGAGAAAGTACACACCAGGTTCTTTGGTAAAATATTTTCTTTAAAACAGCATTAATATTTAAAAAGTGTTTTGATTCTGCCTTGTCACAAACATTGTGCAAGTGTTTCCAAAAACACCACAGATATTGTACCCAATTACAACATTGCTAGCAAAATATTTATATTGGAATAGTCCCAAAACACCAGGTGTATACTTTCTTATGTACGTCAGTATATCATTCCCTCACAGCTCCGCGAAAGGATTTCCTCTTACCACAAAGTCTAAACTTTCGACACAAACGAAAACCAGCTAATTCCGCAAAATATTTCTGCATCAAAAATACATTCTGACATATATTTACGGAAGAAACAAAATCTTGCAGAAATTTCTCTAGTAAAAACATTTAGCCAAGAAATTCGGCAGAAATGCGTTTTGTGGGGAAATAGTTATTAGTCTAGTTTGGGACTAAAATCAGACCAATTCATCTCACCCACACCTTTCCGGTGACACAATTCTGTTCTGGACTTCTGGCCATTCCAAAGTTGTCCGAAGTTGTTTTACACTTACTTTACCCAGCAGATTACGTCACAAAACGCACCGGCTATCTTATAACCCTATCGGTAGGTGTTTGGATTGAGCTTGAGTTTGAGAGTGTTCATTTATGTCTGTTCTAGGCAAACCTTCAGGATGGTTTCCCACTCTAGGAGGATTCGTTCCAACACAGGCTCCGTCAGTTCCAACGTGTAACAACCTGTTCCAGGCCGTGGTTTGGGGTATGTCTGACATTATGGACTGAGTGTTGTGTAATGTCGTTACCATTACATTTATAGTCCGTTTGGCTCAAAAGCGGACCGATGAATTGCAATTTAACTCGAAAACTAATAAACATATAATACTCAATGAAACACTGATCATAATCAAAACATCAGACCAACTTTGTGATTTTTTGGAGAATTTATGTCCTAAAAATTAAAAACGTTGTTTAACAAACTATCATTAAAATATTGACACAGTTCACCATTTGTTACGAGAACAGCCAGGTGTGCGACAAAGGATGGAGACGGCACAGCACAGATACATGAATCAATAACTTTGTCGGCACTTGTGCACGTGCCTCGCGTACACCTGGCTGTCCCTTTCTCTGCACTCCTCCCTCGTAACAAATAGTGAACTTTGTCAACATTTTAATGATAGTTAATTAAACAACTTTTTTAATTTTAGGACATAACTTCTGCAAGAAACTCTCAAATATAGGCTGATGTTTTGATTATGATCAGCGTTTCATTCAGTATTATATGTTTATTCGTTTTCGACTTCGATTGCAATTCATCGGTCCGCTTTTGAGTCATACTATCGCTTAAAGGAGGATAAGATATATAGATGACAACCTTCTTTACAAATTACAAACAGGTGCGATGTTTCGGTGTTAAATGGAACACTGTTATCAAGTAAGTGATATCCAGTCTGGCTGAAAGGCATCAAAACAATTATGAGTTGGTGTATTTTCCAGTGTATGGGAATAAGGTGTGTTTACAGCGGATTTGAGAGGGCTGTTCAGTACAAAGTCTGTAAGATCTTAGGTAGCAAGTCCTAACAGGTCCAGTTACCGTATCCTTCCATAGTACTCCAACTTCGGAAAGCTGCTCAAAGAAGTGCAAGCTTAATGTGTGAGGAGCGACTGACGTATGGATATCTGACCTGTTTACCTTTTTCGTTAAATGCACGGACATTTTGTAGACAAACGAATATTCATAATCATAAATGATCCGACAACAGAGCTCATCTCTTATGACTCGAACAGATCTTAAGGATCTAGTAGTATGCCTCCATTGTCACTCTTCTGTATGCCTACATTGACACTTTTTTGTATGCCTCCATTCTCACGCTTCTGTATGCCGCCAATCCCACTCTTTTGGTATTCATCCAATGGAACTCTTTTGTATGCCTCCGTTGTCACTTTTGTATGCCTCCATTATCACGCTTCTTTATCCCTACGTTGTCACCCTTCTGTATGCCCCTGTTCTCACACTTCTATATGCCTACGTTGTGACTCTTTTGTATGCCTCCATTCTCACGCTTTTCTATCCCTCCGTTGTCACGCTTCTGTATGCCTTGTTGTCACACATCTGCATGCCTCCATGGTAACGCTTTTGTATGTATCCGTTGCCACGCTTCTGTATGTCTCCGTTGTGACACATCTGTATGTCTCCGTTGTCATGCTTCTATATGCCTCCATTCCCACTCTAATGGTATTCATCCAATGGGTCTCTTTTATTATACTTGCATTTTCACTCTTTTGTATGCCACTCGTTACTCTCATGGTATACCTCAATTGTCACTCTTTTGATCTGCATCTATTGTTACGATCTATGTCCTCTTTTACTGTCATGGATACCTCCAATGTGACAGTAATTGAAATACCCTTTCACACAGGCACTGATAGACAGGCATATGGGATCTACATGGACCAAGCATATGCAATGAACGACGACAAGTATGCTAAGAGTATCCCCAAGAGGCTTCAGAATGTGTTCCCAGGAGCCCCAGTGGAGGTGGACTTTGCCTTCACTATGAACAAAAATGCACGGACTGTTACCTACATGTTTATGGGTAAGTTGTACATTCAGAAACCTTTTCCAGTCTAAGTAAACCTAGGCTCAGTATTATTCGTTACACTGCTATATGCTGAGTCTAACAAAACCTAGTAGAAGGTCGCGTCAGCTAACCTGTTGGACTGACCAATCAGAACACAGCTTACCGAATCGCGGAAGTTAACATTCGCGCATACCGTTTGAACCTTTACCTAAAAAACTCGAAGGATTCCGAATGCTGTTTTCCGCACGATTGCTTCCGAGTGATACACATGGAGTACGCAATGAGTAAACAGTCGCTGAAAATAGCGTTTATGTCAATATTCAAGGATGTCATCTTGCGAAAATATAAGCTATTAGTAACCATGTCATTAGAAACCCATAAGCGTATATATAGCAGGTTAAAATATCTGTGTTTCATGCGGATTTCCGTTTGTTGATAGATCAGTGTCAGCGACCAGGGAAGAGAAATCCAAAAACCGTTTTGTAAGTCCCCACCCTAACAAGTAGTCGTTGTCTGATTGGTTAAACCGTTCGGCCGTCTCGCGTTTGATTGGACGGTCATAGGTCGCTCAAAGGTTAGCTGACGCGACCTTCTACTAGGTTTTGTTAGACTCAGTATAGCAGTGTAACGAATAATACTGAGCCTAATCTTACTTAGACTGGAACCTTTTCCTTCTTATCAGAATATGTAATCGTGGCCGCGTCGTACCTGAAGACGTTGTAGTGAGTGAGTGAGTGAGTGAGTTTAATTTTACGCCGCTTTTAGCAATATTCCAGCAATATCACAGCGGGGGACACAAAAAATGGGCTTCACAACACTGTACCCCAGTGGGGAATCGAACCCGGATTTTCGGCGTGACGAGCGAACGCTTTAACCACTAGGCCACCCCACCACCCCTGAAGACGTTGTAAGGAGAGGATAACAGGGGCCAGTTCCACAAAGCGACCATAACACTACGACCGTCTACGCTTATGTTTAAGTATGGCGGTTAAGATCCTCTTAACAACAAGAGTATAGAAATACTCTTACCCTTGCCCATCAAGGTCAGCTTAATCTTTCTTTCTGTATTTATGAAAAACGCCACATCCTATCGATTCCAGGTTTTCTAATTACATATACGATATCAGAGACCATATTATATGGTCTCTGATGATATTTATACCATTACACTGAAACTTTAAGTCTTTGCCTTTCATATCCTTCAAGTCTAGTGGTGGTCGGGTAGCCTAGTGGATAAAGTGGTCGCTCGTCACGCCGAAGACCCGGGTTCGATTCCCCACATGGGTACAATATGTGAAGCCCATTCCTGGTGTCCCCGCCGTGATATTGCAGTAATATTGTTAAAAGCGGCGTAACACTAAACTCACTCGCTCACCATATTCACAAGATCTCTGCTAAATGCAGATTCGATCTTACGAGCTTGCTCGCTCCTTCAAGTCTAACGTTTAATCCGTTATGGAACAGGTAAGATAATCAAATGGTTCAAGCTTTCATACGTTAAACAGAGTTTGTTCGTCGCACTCAGCACTATATCAGATATATGGCGGCGGTCTGTAAATAATCAAGTCTGGACCATACAATCCGGTGATCATCAGCATGAGCATCGATCTACGGAATTGGGATACGATGACATGTGTCAATTTGAGTCACACTGCATCACCAAAATTAAACCAAACAAATAAAAATACAATACCATTATGTACAATGCATTTACTTTTGTTTCAGGCCCAAACGTTTGGCGGTTTACTGGCTATACCCTGGACAAGGATTACCCAGTGGGTTTTGATGTCAGTAAACTGCCCGAACCACCCATCTCAGCAGTAGTGGGCAATGAAAGAGGCCGCGAGACAATATTTATGTTTGGGGTGAGGTCATAGCTCTGCACCTTAGCATTCTCGGCGTTGTATCTTAAAATAATAATAATAATAATGGATATTTTTAATGGATATTTTAGCGCGCCATTTTCCACCCACTGATACATGCTCAAGGCGCTACATAAAAGCATACATGCAATGCATACAGAGGGTAAAATAGTAAAATAAGTATACATTGAAATTGATGACAGAAAGATTGATTTTAGGGATAGGCTTTGGAAAAAAAGAAAGTCTTCAACTTAATTTTGAAAGTTTCTAATGTGGGAGACTGCTTTATGTGGAGAGGAAGAGAATTCCTCAGAGTAGGACCAGCGTACTGGAAAGACCTCTTGCCAAAGGAAGAAAGGAGAACTTTGGGAATGGAGAGAAGACATTGGTCTTGAGATCTGAGAGTTCCGGTAGGGGAGTACACAGTGAGAAGTTCAGAGAGATATAAAGGAGCTTGATTATGCAAACATTTATACACAATGCAAAGAAGTTTGAAGTCAATCCGGAACTTGATTGGAAGCCAGTGTAATGATGAGAGTACAGGGGTGATATGGTCTCGTTTAGTGTAATTATGAAAATGAACCAAGACCCATTTGCTGGTATTGTTTTTAATTATGTATGAACTGATTATGTCTAGCGTTCATGAAGAGTTGTCATTCTTGACCAGCTTGTCCCTTGTTTCAGCCAGCAATTAATTTGGTGATGTTTTATCTAGCTAGCATGATAACAGCATCGTTGTATTATGGGTACATATTACTAATAATCCTCTCTTTCCGAAAGATGTTCTGTCGTTTTAAGCCCGTTATTTTATAGTAAATTAGTTGCCGCGAATCTATCCAGGACATGACATAGTTTCCGCCTCATGAGGATGAGAAACACCTAAATATCAGTTAATGCAGCAAGAGTTGTCTCCCCTTTCAGCGATCAAAATGGTGGATTTGGGACGAGAGCCGGGACAACGTGGTGCATGGTTTGGAGTATGAAGGTTTCTGGCCTCACAACCCGTCAAAATATCCTCTAGTCACAAAATATATTGACGGCGACGTCTATTTCATACACAACGATAAGTACGTTATCATGGTTATTGTCTGTCTGCTTCTTTCATGTCTGGTTTAATAGCCCTACTTATGGCACATAAAGACGCTGCTCAAATTAACTCTTTATTGTATGTGACAGCGTGGCTGGAACATTGCTGAGTTCGGTGTGAAAGAACAAACAATTAAACAATTCAATCAATTCACTTAAACAGTTGAAAGTTTGTGAGATACGCTGTACAAAAAACATTATTTATGGTGAAGTTTGAGCGCAAAATTGAACACAAATATCCCAAAATTATGCATGATCCCTAACTTTATTTGTTCAGTATATGTGATGAAGGAGGAAGATGTAATGCGGAACGGCGTTGCACACAACAAAGATGATGTTCAAGTTTTCATAAAATGTTCTCGAACGTTTTGACGGTTATCCGCTTGCAATTATCTGACACGCATGAATACTGAATACAACGAAATATAACGGCCCCAATCGACATTAACTCAACATTACACGAGTTGTTTGATAACATGTATAGAAGACCAATGTGAATTACATTTTGGGGGCGGGTGGTGGGTGCGTTGGTGTAATGGTCCTGTTATATAGTCCAGGTGGTCACCTTTCACATAACTTGCCCCAAGTAGATCACCGGTTTTGTATAATTTGTGCGACAATCCTTAAATGCGCAATGGTCTCATTTCAGTCACGTGAGACTGAACGACCAACGAACTGTCAAAAAAGGTTACCCAAAGAAGGGGGTACCCGAATGGATATACCAGTCCTGTCCGAACACGTGAGTTAACCTGTCATCATCATCATCATCATCATCATCATCATCATCACCATCATAAAAAGGATGTACTTTGTTTTTGTACTTACAGTATTCTAACATAGCCAGCATCTGACTCTGACATAACCGTCGGGGACGGTGGGGTAGCCTAGTGGTTAAAGCGTTCACTCGTCACGCCGAAGACCCGGGTTCAATTCCCAACTTGGGTAGAATTTGTAATGCCCATTTCAGGTGTGCCAACGCCGTGATATTGCTGGAATACTGCCAAAAGCGGCATAAAACCCATCCTCGATAATCTCCAGGGTATACGTTACGATCACTCTCCACTATACCCTGGATGCACCCGCATTCTCACAGTAGCCAATCAGCTAAGCCGCCGTTACATCCGAGCTTGCCAGGGTCAACAAAGATAGCGGTCGCAGTCGCGAAGGTTTGTTCGCAGTACCACTCAGAGTTTTGGAGAAATACAAGACAAATTGACAGATCTGAAACTTTCAAACAATATGTAAAAGAACTCCTTCTACCTCTTTCAGAGTACCTCTGCATCAATTGTGTTGCCACGTTTAAACGGTTAGATAATTTAAGAAGCGAAAGTGAATTGTGATTGGTTCGCTCAACTTCCCAGCGTAGACACCTGATTGGGTAAAAAGTCAGCCAAGGGAGGTAATAAAATCACTTGGCCAAGCCGAGGATGCATCCAGGGTATAGTGGAGAGTGATCGTAACGTATACCCTGGAGATTATCGAAGATGCATAAAACCCATCTCACTCATCTTACCGTCCAAAAGAAAAACAATATATAAGTACGTGGGCATGAATTCTGCTTGTTAATGTCTGTGCTAAATCCCCACTATGGTGTACCAACGTATTCACATAATCGTATGATTAACACTATGGCACTTCTCATTTCCAGGGCAAGGACATTAGGAACAACGGACTATTTCTGCTCCATGCTATGCGCCCTGGTACTCCTGTGTACAACTATATGGAGGCAGTAATCATTTGCAGTGCATTTGACTCTTTGCTCAAGGTGTTATATTTCTCTCAGGACCAATCAAAACATTACGTGGAACTTCCGTAATCAGTTACACCCGGGAATTAAACTGCACTCGGTACTTTGATATTTTGGGTGCTGAACTTGGACTTTATGGAAAAACATATATTATCCCCAAAATTGTTTAAAAAAATATACTGAAAACTCGAGTGTAACGAAAATTCAGACTGCTGGAACAAAAGATATTTTCTATCACAAAAATAATACATTGTTGCAAGGGTTTTTTAGAAAACATTTATGGTTTTAGTTTTAATTAAAACCTGGTTTTGAAGCTGTGGCTGAAAGCATTCCACCTTCACGTGCCACGAGACACTTTCAAGAGTCTCACACAAACTAGTTAAAAAGGATTTACATATTATTTGAACATGAAATATGCTGTCAATGTATATATAGGCAGTAGAAAGTCTGAAGTATGAATCTATATTTATTTTTGCGATAGCATTAATAGAACTAAAATATGAGACTGATATTTATGCAATACCTAATTATTTGTATATACATAAAACATGTATATGTAATTACATATTAATATATGAGCATGTATATATGTTCAGACGCAGACAATACATATAAGTGCTCTGTAAGTTTGTAAAAAAGTTTTTCACATTTTGTAAATATCTATCTGAAGAAAAATGATTGGAAAAGATACTTCTGTGAATGATCGTATTTATGCAATGAATGGAAGAAATAGGACATGTATATACACGAAGACTTGTAGTTGTAATATCTTGCCTTGCCTCCCACAGCCGTGACCATGTTAATGCTATATGTTCGATAGAGATGTGATCTGGGCCCGTTTTACGAAGCTCTCGTAAGCCTAAGATCTCGTAACATTTCTCGTAGTATTCGTACCTCCTACAGTGTACATAGGAGGTACGAATGCTACGAGAAAAGTTACGAGATCTTAGGATTACGAGAGCTTTGTGAAACTGGGCCCTAGCCTGTACCTGTATACACTTCACGTAATAACGGCGAGCCTAATTTTTCCCCTTATAAATGTATACATGAATTTAGTTTTTATACATACCAATACTAATAACTCATAATTGTAATATCTTTTAATTTCAAACGGAATTATATGTGATCATAATTATAATAATAATAATAATAAAAATAGATAAACTATTGATAAGAATAGTTGAATTGAACAAGACGTTATCAAATTTCAGCTGTGCAAAACTTCATACTCTGGTTGATTTTTTAATTAAATCCTTGGGGAATTGATTAAACCCAGATCTGTTTGTTTGTTTGTTGTTTAACGTGACATTCAGAATATCCCAGCTATATGGCGGTGGTCTTTAAATAATCGTGTCTGGAGCTGACAATCCAGTGATCAACATCATGAGCATCGTCAATCTACGCAATTGGGATACGATGACATGTGTCAACCAAGTCAGCGAGTCTTATCACCTGATCCCGCTAGTCGCCTCTTACGACAAGCCTGGGTTGCTGGAAGATCAATTCTAACCCGGATCTTCACGGGTTCCAGATCTGTAAGAACTGACAAATTAATACATTATGTTGGTGCTTGAAGCAGCCGTACAATATTCACTTTCTTTCACCTCGTCTCCGCGAATGACACAATTTCTACAACGGATGGTCTCTCAGGCTGGAAGCAGTGGTATTGCAAGTTCCCATGAGCTCATAAGTGGTCGTCCAGCTTATGTTGCCGGTGGCTTATAGCACGTGTTTTAAATCATTGAAAATAATATAGTTATGTAAACACATGTCCGACATATAGCTGGGATATTGCTAATTCCGGCGTAAAGGACAACACAATAAATGTTTGCATCTGCGCCTAAAAAGAGTCGTAATCGTAATGAACAGTCTCGTTGATATAACAAACCCAATGATGAGGTGAGATGAAATGGGGTTTAACGTCGCACTTAAGAATATTTCTCTCATATGACGACGTGCATGCGTGTGTGTGTGTGTGTGTGTGTGTGTGTGTGTGTGGCTGCTTGTATTAGCCCAGACTTAAGCTGGTTTTATAGTGCTAGCTCACTGAGATACCATGCCGCAGTGAAGCATGAATATCCAACTCAGACACATTATACTGACTCCGAGCCGACCAGTCCTTGTTGTACCCATTAATGCCGAGCGCCAGGCAGGGACCAACAAGTACCATAGTTTAACGTCTTTTGGTATGACGCGGCCGGGGTTCGAACCCGCGACCTTCTGCTCTCCGGGCGGAAACTCCAACCACTACATCATGGAGGCGGTCCCCAATGATGAACGGTGCATAGTATATTTCAGGAAAAGATCTTTCTCTATCATGACGTCATTTCCGGAGATTCGAAAATACTCTAGCAGCTTGATGATATCGGACACTAAGGAAATACCATAGTTACTCTCTTGCTGATAAAATGGAGTTGTCTGACGTTGCCGAGGTCGGATTGTAATCAGTGACTTATCGTTATTTAAATGCATGCAAACAGGCTCAAAGCTTGTACATTGTATTAATCTCCTACACGAGGCAGTACCTAATATTGATGTAACATCCAATAAAGAAACCACTCGTTATCAATGTTTATCGTACACAAAAAAAAACTACAGGGAGAATAAACACAGCATTACAACCCCTGGTGGTTTATCCTACCTGTTTTATTGTACTAGGCCACGAGTCGTTGATTTCTTCAATGACACATTACAGCAAACATATATATTTATGATGAAATCTACTTGCCTAGATAATGGAAGCGTGATTAATGTGTATCGACCAATATGTAAGCAGGTTTCACTTTAATATGAGTCGTATTTTGTTGTTTGAAAAGGCAATATATCTTGCCTCTTGCTGCTTAAAACGTACTTTCCTCTGCCTGGCGCTTGGCATTAATGGGTACAACAAGGACTGATCGGCTCGGAGTCAGTATAATGTGTCTGAGTGGGGTATTCATGCTTCACTGCGGCATGGTATCTCAGTGAGCTAGCACTATATAACCAGCTGAAGTCTGGGCTAGTACAAGCAGCCGCACATACACATACACACGCCTGCACGTCATCATATGAATAAAATATTCTTAAGTACGACGTTAAACTCCAATTCAACTCATCGCACCTAAAAGGTCCTTTCAAGATATCCTTTAACTTTGAAAAAGGCGAAAAGAACGTCATTCCTCTTCTTTGTTACAACAAATAAAGAAAAACAAACACCTTGTATCTCGTCTCAAGCGTCTAACGACGCACACATTTAACCAACGCCTAGTATGTTAGGCAAACAGAATCAGAAATGCTCGTACTTACATAAACCATTCTTCAGTAACCCATACTTGTCAGAAGAGGCGACAAATGGGATCGAGTTGTCTGGTTAAGCTGATGCACGCCATCATCTTCCAATTTCGTAGTTTAATGCTCATGATGTCGGTCACTGGATTGTCGGGTCCAAACTCGATTATTAACAGACCGTTGTCATGGCTGAAACATTGCTGTGCTATTAAAAGCTGACGTCCATAAATGTTTCTCTTTCATGTGTATCATTCAATGATTTGAACTTGTGTCATCCGTCACAAGGTGTTAATTTGTGAATTTGGATTCTTTCTTGTCATTTGAGCTAATGTCTATTGAAACGGTAGCTGTGACCTCTTTGCGCTTCTGGTGCACCCGTGCGTATATCTCCACTCCCGTATACAGTGCCATCGCCACGGCTAACAAAGCCAACACACATATAAGTTTTGTCTTCAAACACAGAAAGTTGCTCAGCACAAATGTGAGTGTGAATCCTATGGCTTTCCAGGTGTGGTAGTTGGCAAAGGCTGGCCCCTTCTTCTCCGGGAACAGAATGGCTATCAGAGCTGTAGGAACAGAAAATAAGGTCGAAATGAGTGTGTGCTTAACATTACTATCAACAGTACTAAACTAATGCTATATCGTTGGCAGGATAGAAACATGCGTTTGACTCCATTTTGATATGACGTTACGTCCGAAATGGTTGGTTGATTGGTTGTTTGGTAGTTCAACACCGCACTCAGCAATATTCCAGTTCTATTGCCGCGATTTGTAAATAATCGAGTCCCGACCAGACAATCACGTGATCAACAGCATGGACATAGATCTACGTAACTGGGACACGATGACATGTGTCAACCAAGTCAGCGAGCCTGACCACCGATCCCGTTAGTCGCCTCTTTCAACAAGCATGGGCTATTGAAGACCATTTCTAACCCGGATGATCACGGGTCGACTTCATTTTGATATGGCGTTACGTCCAAAATGACGGCATATAAATACATGACGTCATTCCAGATATTATGTTATATTGATGGGATGCCGTTCTGTTTCTGGCTTTGTCCTGCGTACCATCCTTTGGTCACATTAAATGTAATGGGTCGACCATTTTGGGGCAAAATGAGGGTGCTTGTTTGACTTACAGTATCGTGATAAACTATCATAATAAACGCGAAAAAACCCTTTCCACATCCATAAGAAACCTCTGCTAAACGTTTAGTCGACTGTACAATTCTGACTATGTCATAAGTATGTATTACAGCTGTACGATGTGGTTTGTAAAAATTAAATGGTCGAAAGAGAGCACATACACATGCAATATGTGTATTATAATTATAATTAAGTTAGTGAGTTTGGGTCAATGCCGCTTGAGAACAGATGAAAGTCTGAGATGTTTACCACTTTTATGCAAACCCAGATGACACGTATGGTTGCTCTAATGCCAGAAACTCAGATTTGGCCGACGTTCATACATTTCTAAAATGCTCAGGGGCGCCAATATGCACAGTCATCCCGTGTCCTCTTAACTGAAGAATTTATCATTAAAAATAACTTTAACAGACCGAAGAGATAACACCATGACTTTTGAAGGTTCTTACAGTTGGATTGTGTTTGCCATATTCCTTCTCCGACGGCCCACACAATGGGGATGACAAAGATGTACTTGGTGTCGTCGCTTGTCGGCGTCCATAAATACAGTGTTACAAACACTCCAGCGTGTAAAGCAGCAGCAGTGAAGAACAGGATGTAACGTCCAATGTGCTTCGCAATACGACTGAAGATGAAGGCACAGGAAGCAGTGGTTGCCCCGTACGTCGTCATGACGAAACCAACCATGTGTATTCCGATAGGACAGCTGACGAAGGACTGCAATAGAACATGTGGTGATCATTGGTATTGATTCACTGGTGTCCTCCCATTACGCAGGCAGCCAGTTCGCAGACACCTTAAAACAACAACATTTACGGTTCAGTGAACAGATTATGTACTACCTGTTACCTACACATTATAATGGAAAAGTCCAAATAAAAACACAGGAACAAACTGAAGCTATATTATTTATTTTGAAAGATGGACGAAAACACAGTAATTTGAATTTTTATTGCTGCAATATAAAAAACAGTTTATTTTCATAAACATTTCGGTTTAACCTTCTAGTCTAACGGGATCATCATATTGAAAACATTAGCTTAGCTATTAGAAATTGCGACACTGTTGTATCATATAAATCAAATAAAGACAAATGTGAACCTAAATATTATTCATATGGAATAAAGAAGTTATATGTTTTGCACACAATATTAAGATATATGACGAGTGCACGTAATTACGATTTATATAGAATAAATATTTAAAATATGACGCATCATGTGAATGTGGCCATGGATGTGAGAATGTTTTTCATTACTTCCTTGAATGTCCTTTGTATACTACTCAAAGACATAAAGTGTTAAAATCTGTAGAAAGTATTGTTAAATTAGAACACTGATTGGTATTAACCGTATCTTACGTGGCAATGCAGATGTCTCATTTACTGCAAATCAGAATGTTTTCAAATATGTACATATCTATATTTCTCCAACAAAACGTTTTCCCAGTTAACTTCTGTTGTACATATGCTATTATAGGGAAGGGTCTTTTCTATCAATAAACACAATCAAACCTCTCAGTGGCAAACCTGTTTTTATATTCGATAGCAATTGATAGTAAAATCAATTTTGAGAAGAGAAATCATTTATCATTTAATCACAACAAAGTTCTATTTACCCACAATCAAACTTCTCAGTAACAAACCTGTTTCAGGCTCACCCTGCTCTTCTCACTAGACAGTGGACTGTTCCATTATACCTGTAGGTGTTACCCTAGTTAACCTTCTAGCTCAGTGTCTATCAAATGGGTGTCTGTCAACTGGGAGATTGCAAACCGTTTCAATACAAGAAACATTAAACCGCGTGTATGCGATAAGCAGTATGGTGTTTAATACAGTGAATAGGTTATCTCCCAATTGACA